TCACACCTCAGAAGATGAAAGAAAATGTTTTTCTCCCTGAATCTGGCCTTCATAATTCCATTCTATCACACCTTCATAGCATTACTTAGCCATTGTTAAAGTGATGTATAGCCTTACTGTATTTTGGCCCAGCAGTGTTTGGCTGACTCCAGAAGATGCTCTAAATTCCTACTGCAGGAATGATTGGGGACGCAGTAATCAGCACGGCCCAGGGTAGTCCAAATGCAACTGCATTCTTTAATTTTGATTCCTTTTCGAATGATGCCCATCTCAGAATTTAGGCTTTTTCATAGGAGCTTCAACTCCATGATTCCTCTTCTGGCCAGCCCCTGTCATCTAATCACTCATGGTCAGTTCCAGAAAGCAGCTTGCATCAGTTGGAGAACAGCGACATTATTCGGCCCAGAAGGGCCAGGTGAAACCTCAAATCACTGACCACACAAAACTCACAGCCCAAGTGCTCACAACGCTTAGAACAGATGATAACAAAGCTTTGTGCACAAGAGAAGAGAATATGCTGCTTGAATGCCCTGCTTCTCTGATGTTGTCAGCCCTGCTAGGTAAACCAGACCATGAAACCAACTCCACAGGAAGGCTAAAGCTACTTTTACTGAGATGGCCTCTAATCACAAAATCTTGCAAGTCTGATTGTGCTGGACCTCCTCCTCCTTCTTATAGTTCAGTGAATTAGGGAGGTGTCTGCCTGAGCTGCTTCTGAATGTTATCTGGATGTTCTAGACTTAAAATATGTTTTAGCTCCTTTTGCCTAGGCAACAGCTTCTGCATATCTCCATCAAGGTTATCTTCTTGGTCTCTACAGGTTTTGAGACTAATTCCCACACCATAGGGTTTCTGCTCCCCAGTCATTCACAAAGCAGCTTGAAGGTGACTTCAAAAGGTCAAGAGCAGACAGAGAACACCAAGGGTCAGTCAATGTTCGCCTTCCAGCTGACCAAAAGGAGTCAGAAATGCCACATTCCAGAGATAAAGGAGCAGCAGAACCCACCTTGCCTCCAATTTAATGAAACTTGAAATAAAATGAATTGCCAGTCTGCTCCCCCATACCCACTTATGTTGTCAGTTCATCCTGTGAGTATTTATTTGCCCCAAAATAAAAAGTGGTTAACATTAGCATTCTGCAAAGCATTTGAAATAGAAGTTTTGCAATGCTTGGGCGTCTGAATGGAGCACCTCTTTTTGAATATTAAAGTAGCCCAGTTGTTTTGCCTGATTGCTTCAAAATCTGTTCCCACTTTTCTCTGCGTAGTTACTTCACAACATGACATCCCTTTCAAATGCTTTACTCATCCCTACTCATGGAGAAAATCTATTTATGTGGCTGCTAAGAGACAAAAATGACTTGATAGCACATAATCAACCATAATCACACATCCCTAATTGCAAGGATGAGACACTTCTTAGATGCAAAGATGGCATTCCTCTATTGCATTTAACAGCTCTTTCACACTTTGATGGTGAAATGATAGCATGTTAGCATTGTTACAAGCAGGCATTGTTTCCCAATACCAAGGTTGCATGTGGCTGGCGGAAGGGAAATATATCTCAACAACCCCTGCAGAAAGTCACTAACAAAGGGGCTTCTGGGAAAGCCACAGCAAACTGAAGACAGCTCTGCTGAGAGCAGAGCCAACAACCACGGCGGAACAAGGAGCCAGCGAGCGGATCGGCTTCTCAGAATTCCTCTCCAGACAAGGAGAGGTCTTGGGATCACCCACAAGTGCTCCAGACAGTTGCTCCCTGCTAGGAGACTGTAAGACAGTGGATTCTGGCAAGTTTACAGCTCTGGGAGATGAAGGAATAGCCATCTTTATCCAAGCAGCGATCAGTGCCTTTATGGACACAAGGTTTGCATACTTCCTCTCTCAATCACTTCTGAAAATTGCTTGCTAACTGCTTTTTGGATATTAGGAATCTTCAGAAAGGCAAGTTTCATTACACTGGTGAGTTTCCTTCACTCCTTAGAGAAAGAAGTTTTATGCAAGCTTAAGGACTTTAAAAAATTCTTATTTTGGAATAAACAGCAAAAGGGTGATTAGAACATTGATTTTGGAAAGTTATAAATGGACTAAAGGATCAGATGGATTGGAAATAAGAGTTTGAAATAAATTACAAGAATCCTTCCCATGGGAAAATGCTGTTGATTAAAAAAAATCATGGTAAGATGGGACTTTGAAGGTCGGACACTAGAGGGAACCAGGAAGAACTAAAGATTATAATTAAAGAAGAAGACACCACTAATATAAAATGGAGCAAAGTACTCTAACTTTGGATAAATTCAAGGATATTTGGGAACAATGCACTCAGAAGCTACTCTTAAGATTTCTGCTATCATAAAACTGAATTTAAAAGAGGATACAGAAGAGGAACAAGTTTTACTGAACAAGACTGAGACTGAGGCTGATTGAAATGTAGATTTAAAAATGACAGGCTACAAAAATGATATGGAAAAAAAATGTTACACTGGATATATAAATGAAACCTGCTGATGTCTTAATAATTAAAAAGGATTTACAAATAACAAACCAGCAGAGTGACTTGGATAACTTGCTTATTTTGGATTTACAAAAGAGACATGTTAAAGCTTTGAAGGATTTTCTGAGAAGAGGCACAGAAAATGAAAAGAAATCAGGTTTTGAGATGCTATTTAAAGCCATTAAAGATTAAGATTGTTAAAAACAAAAGGAAGGAATATAAAGTTGGTGCATTTGATCAAGGTTAAAATATGTATGTTGTTATTTCTGGCAATTCTTAATGGATTTTTCTTGACCAGGACCAAATAATGAGGCTTATCTTAATGTCCCATCTATTTTATTCTCACATCAAAACTTGTACGGCAATTAACATAATGCTGCATTATGTCATAAGAACATCAGCTAAACCTTGAAGAGGCACAAAACTCTTCATGGTTGGCTTCTAAACATCACGGGACGTCCCTTCAGAAAATTCTGAGTTCTGTTCCTAGAAAGGATGCTTTGCACCGCAGAAGACCCAGTTTGCAAGGAA